TATATATATATATATATATATATATATATGTAAACATAAATTCACATATATTTATACATGATTACATATAATACTGGGAGCTCTGGTAGCATAGTGCCTAAGGCATTTGACTGCTAACCAGAAGGTTGGTGGTTCAAACCCACCAGTCACTACTTGGAAGGAAGATGGGGCAATCTACTTCCGTAGTGATACTGCCTCAGAAACCCAAGGAAGGGTGGCTGTGAGTTGGGTCTGACTCAATGGAGCATAGCAACCACAACAACATATATAATACCAGAGTCCTAGTGGCATAGTGTGGTTAAAGCACTCGGCTGCCAACCAGAAGGTCAGTGGTTCAAACCTACCAGCTGCTCTATGGGAGAAAGATGTGTCAGTCTGCTTCCATAAAGATTTACAGTGTTGAGAACTCTTTGGGGGCAGTTTTAATCTGCCCTGTAGGGTTGCTATCAGTTGGAATCAACTTGATGGCATGGGTTTGGTTTGATATATGTGACATTTTATATTTGTACATATAGGCTTAGATGGACATAGCAAGAGGTCTGAAAGGAATTTTACCAACCTATGGCTGAGGGGTAGTAGTGTGAGCGTATTTTGACTTTTACTATTTTTGCATGGCTTGGTTTTATAAGCACAATTTCATCATGTAAAACTTTGTAAAAAGAAATGAAAGAAGAAATTATAGTTTCATCCTACCTGTTTTTCTCTTTATAGCTATCCCTAGTAGCATAATAATAGATATTATTAACTTAGTGCTGTAGGCATATTCTTTTATTTCCTTATTGAATTAAATTGCAGTTGTTTTGAGGGAGTGGCAAGAATAAAAGAAATGTTCATGGAAGTAATATCTATGAAAATTCTGAAAAGAAATTATTTACAAAATGTCTGCTCTATCTTCTTCCTTTTTATCTCAGTCTTGACTCAGCACACCACCCAAATAACCTCTTAACTGGTTTGCTACTTTAATCCAGTAAACATCTGTTGACGGCACAGTTCCTGGTTGGAGATAAAAATGAATAAGACATGGTGCTTTTGAAACTTGGTGTCTAATTAGAAAGATATACAAATAGATAATTTTTAGTATAAGTGATAAGGTATGTACAAGAAAGTAGCATTTGGTTCAACCTAGAGGTTCGGGCAGGTTTTTCTAGAAGAGACAGTACTTAGGATGAGATTTAGGGGTTTACGTTAAGTGTTAGCCAGGTGAAGAAATGAGAGAAGAGCACTCCGGGCTGAGGAAATGATGTGAACAAAGGAACAGAACCGTAAAATAGCATCACAAGTGTAAAGTAATTTGGGGCACTTTTTAGTTTAAGAAGGGAGTGGGCAATGGCAAATAAAGCTGGAAACCTGCATTGAGTCAAGGTCACAGGCTTTGTGGTCCACATTAAGGAGCCAGACTTTATTCTGTAGCTTATAGGGAATCACTGAGGATATTATGCAGAGGTTTTATATCTCTGGTGACAGTGTGAGAAATAGATGAATGGATTTTATGGTTTAGGCATAAAAGCAAACATGCATGTTTGGCGGCTGGTATGTAGTTCCTGTAAAGAGGCACTGAAGGCCTAAAATTAGTATGTGTAGAGGAAGAGAGATGGATTCAGCAAACATTTAGGTTTGTGGAGGAGTGGTGGGTGGTGAAGGAATCTAGATACCTCTTTTCATGCTTCTACTCTTGCCTTCTTTTATCTGGCTTGTTCCCTATACTGCATATTTGACCTTATTTGCCTAATGCATTATCACTTCTCTTCTTGATGTTACACTGCTTCAGCTTAATCAAATTATGCCTACATTTATTTATTGGGTACCTACTGTGGGAGCTCTAGTAGCATAGTGCCTAAGGCACTTGACTGCTAACCAGAAGGCTGGCGGTTCAAACCCACCAGCCACTCCTCGGAAGGAAGATGGGGCAATCTACTTCCGTAGTGGTACTGCCTCAGAAACCCTAGGAGGGGTCGCTATGAGTTGGGTCTGACTCGATGGCACATAACAACAACACTGGGAGCTCTAGTAGCGTAGTGCCTAAGGCACTTGACTGCTAACCAGAAGGCTGGCGGTTCAAACCCACCAGCCACTCCTCGGAAGGAAGGTTGAGCGATCTACTTCCGTAGTGATACTGCTTGAGAAACCCAAGGAGGGGTCGCTATGAGTCAGGTCGACTGGACGGCACATAACAGCAACACTATGACTGGCACTGATAGGAAAATAAGGAAGGGACAGACATCAATCTTTTAAGTTCTCAGTGGTTTCTTAAGTGCAGCATGGTCTCTCTTGCCTCCTTGCTTGCTTGATAGGGCAGGCTTTGTGACTAGACAGACCTGGGTTATTGCCTGCCTAATTAGTGGAGAGACTTGGTAAGTTACTTTAAGACTCTGAACCGCAATTCTTCATTGGTAAAATAAGCATTCATTGGTAATTAAGAAAAATGTTTATAAAATATGTAGGACTTGATAAATAACTTTTTTTTTTCTTTAACAGATTTATCATAGAATCCCCAACTCAGACCCATTGTCTAATAAAACAAGACATATCATCTCCACTATCAGGACACAGAATCTTCCCAGCTGTCAGCTCATCTCCCGAAGCCACTACTCTCCCATTTACCTGTCATTTGTCATGCTCTTGGCTGCCCTGAGCTGGCAGTATCTGAGCACCCTGTCCCAGGTCACAGAAGACTATGTTCAGACTGGAGAACACTGATTTGGAATTTGTCTGGAAGCTAAAGTTAACTAAGAAATGGATTTACCTTTTCTGCAAGGATGGATATTGGCTTCTTTTTTTCCCTTCCTGTTTTGATCCCTAAAAGAACGCTGTGTGGCTTAGACCTTTAGAAAACTGAAATGCAGTTGAGATACATTAAAAAAAAAAAGGATACATTACCCTCAGCAGTGCTACTTCTGGGTAGTAGTGGTTACTGTGCTTATCAGCTGTGGCTGATGGCAGAAGACTCATTGCTGCAGTTTAGGTGAAATGGTTGCAAAGGTAATTAATCAAGAGATTTTATTTCATGTGACTCCGTGGTAGAATTACAATTAAACGTATTTAATTTGAAGCAAGCTTTGAATACCTATCCTACTAGGAAATGAAGTAAATTTTGTTTGGTTCCTATTTTTCTCATCACTTTCTCTCTCTTCATTGGTTTGGATGTAGTAAATATGAATGTCTGTAGTAATATTTCCATGTTTCTGAGAATGTAGACTGTGTTTTGTACATGAAGGCTAACAATTAAATTCTGGATATTCAGGTATTCGCTTCCAAAAGGGGTTTAACTTTGAGAGAAATAAATAGAATTGCCCCTGGCCTCATTTGAGAAGATGGCCTCCAGTAATGGCTGAAGCTTTTGAAAAGATTTTTACAATTAAAAAACTCACTTACTCTGCATGTGCAGTGCATTTCACTTTAAAACTGGGAATAATTGGGCGGGGGGAGTTGGAAGAAAACGATTTCTGAACACAGTTAAGAGAATTAAGCAAAAGCTAGGGGAGGTGGCAGAGTTAACAAGGGTTATAAACTAACAGTTACAAACTGTGGAGGCAGTGCTGCAGCATCATTTCCCAGCAGCCACAGGAACCCAGCTGCCAATAATTTCAAATGATTCTTTATATATAGAAGTCTCGAGAAAAAAAGATGTTTTCAGGTGATTGTTTTGAAAGCCAAATGGTGCTTCCCAATTCTACCACCATGTTGTCAACTTCCTTTTTACCTCAGCTATGTTTGATAACACTTTTCACCAATAGTAGCTCCCTGAGATTCTCAGGGTAAGGGTCCTTTGCAAGGAGGATGTTTGGAAAAAGTTCCGTTGGTTGAGAATCACTGACTTTGAGCATTAAAATATTTAATAGTTCCAAGAAAGACTATATATATATCATCTTTGCTGCAGCCCTTTGTGCACACTGACTGAACCACTGGATGAGTTTTTCCAACATGTGCTGGACGTGTTATACATATTAGCTGCCACTGAGTCCATCCCCTGACTTAGGGCAACTCCATGCACAATAGAACAAAGTGCCGCCTGGTCTGTCTTAGTCTTAAATGTCTGCTGAAACATGTGCAGCAGTATAACAACAATATGCAGTCCTTCAGATGGGTGGTCACTGCCCATAAAGTGCCCTGGCTGAGCACTGAACCTGGGTCTCTTGCATGAAAGACAAAGAATTCTATCACTGAACCATGACAGTCCCAAACATACACAGAGATTTTCCTCTTGTGACTCCTGACACCATTTGAACGTTTGGGTCTATGGAGACTTGGCTTATTTGAGTCAGTCCTGGTCAAAGCTGGTCAAACTTGTCACCAGTATTTTTCAAAGTAAGCATCAAAATAATGGTTTTCAGATTTCAAGGTAGGGTGTTAGAAATCTTTTTGTTCAAATCTAAGGGTTGGTTGTGCTAATGTTCACTTCTTATGGTGGAAATTTACCAGGGTTGCTAGATAAAATAGTGTGTACAGTTAAATTTGAATTCTAGATAAAACTGTTTTGAAAGTGAAATTATGTCCCAAATACTGCACAGGACATACTCATTTTAAGATTACTTACCTGAAATTTAACTGGTCATCCTGTATTTTTATTTGCTAAATCTTATTAACTCTGCCCTCTTCTCCACTCTTAATGTATAGTATCCCCTGCATAGATTCTATTGGATTCTGATTAATAGTGGAGTATTTTAAAAAAGTTTTCCTCAGAGGGGTGTCTGACTCAACTGAATCTAGGGCCTTAAGGAATACTGATGGGGCAAAAGCATGATCTCCATTTGCACATTTGGGGACTTCTGGAGACTAAGGCCTTGCACCTTGCACCACACCCTTCCTTTGAGTAAAGGGTTGGGAGCATCCAGAAACTTAATGAAATTTCAGGGACCTTAAGTTCAGTCAAACTAAAGCTTGTCTACATCACAGAGGGCTTGAGGAAATCTACCCAGAGCCCACTGTTGTCAGCTGCTGTACAGCCAGTTCTGACTCATGGTGACCCCATATGAAGAGCAGAACTGCTCCATAGGGTTTCTGAAGCTGTGACCTTTTGGAAATATATTTCCAGGCTTTACTTCTGAGGTACCTCTATGAGTTTGAACTACCAACCTTTTGGTTAGTCTAGCATTTAACATTTGCACAACCCAGAGACTCCTAGGCCCCATCTACTGAGCCATTTTCAGATGTTTGTGGGGATGGCTAGACAGGAAACTTAAGTGTGTGTAAGAATTACTGAAACCCCGATTGTTGGGACCATGGAGAGAGTTCTAATTCAGCAGGTCTGGGGTGGTGCCCATGAATTTGCATTTCTTGTTAGTTCTCAGGTGCTATCAATGTTGCTGGTCAGAAGGCTGAGAATTACTGCTGTAATTTAAAACACATACTAACCAGCTGAAGTTTTGTTAAATGCAAATGAAGATTCAGGAGGTCTGGCCCAATTTCTTAAAAAAACAAAACCAAACCTGTTGCTGTTGAGTCAATTTTGACTGATAAAGACCCCATGTGTTAAGAGTAGAACTGCTCCATAGGGTTTTCTTGGCTATAATCGTAACATGGATCACCTAGCCTTTCTTCCACAGTGCCAGAGTGTGTTGGAAATGCCAACCTTCAGGTTAAGTGCGAACCATTTGTACTACCCAAAGACCTTTACCAAACTCCTAAACAAAACAAAACAAAACAACCCCACTGCCATGGAGTCCTAGGTAGTGTGCCTAAGGCATTTGACTGCTAACCAGAAGGCTGGCTGTTCAAACCCACTAGCCACTCCTTGGAAGGAAAATTAGGCAATCTTCCACAGAGATACTGCCTCAGAAACCCAAGGAGGGGGTCACTATGAGTTGGGATTGACTCGATGGCAGTGTGTTTTTTTTGCCATGGAGTTTATTCTCACAGCATCTCAGAGTAGAACTGCCTCATAGGGTTTCCAAGGCTGTGAATCTTTATAGAAGCAGACTGTCTCATCTTTATCCCAGAGTGACTTGTGGATTTGAACTGCTGATCTTTTGATTAGCAGTCCAATGCTTTTGACCACAGTGCCACTAGAGCTCCTTAAAGTATGCTTATTTGATGCGTTTTAATAGTGTAAGTGCTTACTGGACAATCTACTTCCATAAAGAAAGTTGCCTCGGAAACCCAGTGAGGGTCGCTATGAGTCAGAATCAACTCAATAGCAATGAGTTTATTTTTTGCTTGTCTTTGCTCAAACTTCTAAACTGTCTCAAAATGCCCTTCCCTAGAGGTTATTTTCACTTCCATCCTGTCATCTTGCTGAGTGGACAGACACCCAAGAAAAACTTATACTCACTTACTAGATTAAACTGAAGTGATGAGACTTGGTTAATAATAAATGGGTTAATTTGAGGTTTCTTAAAGCACTAAGGTCTGTCCCAATCATAAACACTGTAATGTGGCTTTTCTGACAGCATCTTAAGCCAAGTGAGAGGATGCCTAGCAATTCATTTTGGCACTTCCATCATCTCTGCTGGCTCTGGGGGCGTGGGTGGGATGGAACCTCAGGTGGGTATGACAGAAATGAGGGGAGGCAGTATAGAAATGGAATTATTAAACTCAGTATTGAGCTGGTGGAAAATGTCAGCGCTTTGGTAACCCTTAAGCTTTTTATGAGTACTATGATGCATTTCAAGGAGCTCTGGTAGCATAGTGACTGAGGCACTTGACTGGTAACCAGAAGGCTGGCGGTTCAAACCCACCAGCCACTCCTCGGAAGGAAGATGGGGCAATCTACTTCCATAGTGATACTGCCTCAGAAACCCAAGGAGGGGTCGCTATGAGTCAGAGCCGACTCATGGCACGTAACAACAACAACAATAACATGATGCATCCCTGTTGACACAGTGATTAAGCACTTGGCTGCTAACTAAAAGGCTGAAGGCTTGAATCCAACAGCTACTCCATGGGAGAAAGATGTAGCTGTCTGCTTCCTTAAAGATTTATATAGCCTTGGAAACTATGTGGCAGCTCTACTCTGTCCTATTGGGCCACTGTAAGTAGGAATCAACTTGCTGGCAACAAGTTTGGCCTTTTTCTTTTTAACAATGAGTTTCACAGATTTTTCCTACAAACATTCACCAGATTTCTAGAGCATATTTGAAGCTTCTGATTCCTGAATCACATATGATGAAGTCAAAAGTTTTGCTATTGGAAAGAGCTCGCCCAACTCCAGGCCTATCTTGTTCAGCCAGTGGAATGAGTGCTGATTCTTATAGTTTTCTCTATTCCCTCAAGTTAGAACTGGTGAATTCCATTACGTTAAGAATTCTTAACTAGGGCTATGCAAAGCATAGTCTTAACCTGCAATGTAAATCAGTGACATAAGGAACTCTCAAAATACTATATACAGGCTCTGCCTCTACTTCTGTACCAACATTTGAGAGCACCTGGGGAAATCTGGTCTCCTAGTAGAATTATGTCTTGGATATGTAGCAATTTGAGAAGCAAAATCCTCAGTGAGTTGCTATTGGTCTGTGGTTGGTTAAAAAAAAACAAAAACAAAAACGTAACAATCTCTTAGCCCTTTAAATCAAGCAGGAATGAGATCATTAAGGCTTGGGTACAGTTCAGGGGATGGATTTACATAACAAGGTTGATGAGAATACAGAGAACTAAGAGCCATGGTTGAAAATATGGTCGGGGCTAGAAGTTAAAATCTGGAATTTACTTTCTTCCAGCCAATTGAGGCAAGACATCCCTGGGAACAGTTGCAAGGGTAACCAGATCTAGAACATGTTTCTACCTCGGGAAGAAGGACAGAAAGCAGCTCCAAGTGTGCCGGCAGTGGCCAGTTACCCTTCAGATAACACCAGAAAGCAAACTTCAATTTGAAGGAGAAAACCTTTATTGGCACAGTTATTCCTTTCCTTGTTAAACTGATAGGGTAAGCAGTGATTTTAAAAACAAACAAACAAAACCCCAAAACAGTAAAAGCTAGTTTTTCCCAAATTAGTTTCACCATGGTTTTAAGAGGTGGGAAGGTCAGTCAGTCAAATCCTGAACCCCCCAGTTTTAAGCCACACCATGTGTGTAAAACTAGCACAGCTCTTCTAACTTAGAGCTCTTCATTGACATGATCAGTTGAAGTGCATTAAAAATAAAATTTGTATTAAAAAAGAATCATGCCACACAAAAGACCAGAGGCAATTTGCAACATTGCAGAGCTCAATAAATATAGGGGCCCTGGGAAAATGTGGCTTTCTTCAAAGGGCTGCCCCTATCACCACTCCTCTCAACTTATTCTAGAAAGCTACTTGTTTAGAGGTACCACTTACATGTGAAAATGTGTATCTTGTTAGGAATTACATTTTCCATTCCTTTCGAAAACGGGAAGTCACACCTAAGATCATCACTCTGTCTTGCTTGTGGAGATGCAGATGCACTGGTGGGGTGGGTAGGGAGGGTGTTGTGGAGGGTTGTTGCAGCAAGAGCTAGAGCAGCAGGCACTATATACAGTACTAGTCTACGGGGAAAGGGCTCACTTTACTTTCAGCAGTGGCTTACATGGTCTGTTTGCATTGCAAGGATCAGTCCATTGAACAGGCTAGGAGGTAGCCAGGACTTGGATTTGTCTTCCGTGGAAGATCAACTCCCCTAGTAGACACAAGGTATGGCCCGATCAAATCCTTCAGGCCCTGAAGCATACCAGCCACTGTCTAAAAGCTCTTTTCTTATATCTTATCTGAACTCAAAGAATAAAAGACATTCCTACCCTCACACTTCCAACCCCAATCCAATTGGCCATATTAGGTGGGAACTCCCCCAGGGCTGGTTGGACAGGGCCACAGCTCATTAGATCCTATTCCAGTATTGATCAGTACGTGGGATTCCAGCCACAATTTCTGATTCGATTCCACAGTGATCCTGTCCTCTAAGGATTTTAAAGAAGCCTAGAAAAGAAAAAAGATGCTTTAAAAGTGTGCCTTGGGTTTTTTGACCTTTGTCAACATATTCAGATTCATCCCTAAGAGACCTAGGGGAGTAAGTAACCAATTCCAACCCCAAGAATTTCTATCAGCTTCTCCCATTCACTCATTAAGCCAGCCCTCAGCAACCCCAAGTCACCCTTCATAACAGTAGTCTTCCCTGGTGTGGTTGTTGAACTGTAATAGACAAGCTATGTGAGGCTGTGTCCTGGTCCCATACCACCCTCTCTCAGGATCAGAGACTGCCTCTTTTGGCAAAGGGAAACCTCAGCTTCCTATCACTTTGGAGATAACAGCTAAGCTGTAGGTTTGTAGCTGTGCAGTGGGCAGAACAGGGATGGCCAAGATGGCCACTGTGTTCTGGCTCATAACGCCCTAGAAAGGGTTAGAAAGTCTTAAAGTATTCTTAGCAGAAAGGGAGCTGCCACTCACCACTGTCACCCCAGTCAGTGTTCCAGGAGTTGGCAGCCAGCCAGTAGGGGGTGCCATTCTCCACTCCCCAGCCCAGGATGCGGATGGCATGGCCTCCCACCTCTTCTCCAGTTACATGCTGGTACACTCCTGAGAAGGAAAAACTGGGTTCAGACCAAGCCAGGGCCACTGCCCCATCTCCTATGGCATTATTCAACTCAGCTGTCTACCTTTCAGTTTGAAGAAACAAGTTCCAGAAGCACCAGCAGGTCTTGTACATGAAAACCACTAGACCAGCTGTTTTAAAACTGGGTCCAATAGAACCCCAGGGTTCCATGAGAAGGCTCCAGGGCTTCCAACAAACATTTGACTCACATTTCTATTATTTAAGTATACTTTTAAAAGGCCAAGACACCCAAACACATTGAGGAAATATTAAAATGACTCCAACAAAATAAAATATGTGCTCATTGGCTGGTTCTGAAAACACATTTATAAATTCTAATTTATGAAATAAGGAGCTCTGGTAGTGTAGTGCCTAAGGTACTTGACTGCTATGCTAACCAGAAGGTTGGTGGTTCAAACCCATCAGCCACTCCTTGGAAGGAAGGTTGGGCAATCTACTTCTGTAGTAATCCTGCTTCAGAAACCCAAGGAGGGGTTGCTATGAGTCAGGTCTGACTTGACAGCATATCACAACATCAACAATTTATGAAATAAATTTAATATTAATGGACTATGAATGATCTGTTTTATACACAGGCATTCCATGAAAGATTTTATTTGTCAAAAGGGTTCTCTGTCTTAAAATGTTTTAAATTGCTGCTCGAGGGCAACACAGGAGAAATAGGAGAAATACTCAGCAGCAACCAATATTAGTTGACAGAGAGAGACTGGCTAATATGCTCAGAGGGTGGGTTAACCAGGCTGTCCCGTGGTTGATGGGTTGATGTATCACTTTTAAGAACTGTCTTATTATTATTTTTTTTTTTAGTTTTCTTTGAGATTTGGGTGAAAATTTACAGAGCAAATTCATTTTCCATACAGCAGTTCACACACATTTTGTTTCATGACATTGACTACAATTTCCCATAATGTAACAGCTCTCTTCCCATTTCCTCCCTATAGTTACCTCTTCCCTGTGTCCTTCTTTCCTATGCAATCCTGCCCCCTGAGCTATCTCCTTGTGTAAACATTGCCCTTCTGTTCTCCCATGATTGATTGTTCTTAGTGTATCTACCTGGTGTAAATGTTTACCCTATATGCCTGTCTGTTGTTTGGCTGGAAGCCACAGGAGTGAGTTCAATTCCAGATCTGGAAGGTAACTCGGGGCTGTAGTCTCAGGGGTTTTACCAGGCTCTATCAGACCAATATGCCTGGTCTTTTAATGATTCTGAGTTTTAAGAACTGTCATCTTTATAATATTTTTTTCTTGGCAGAATTATCTTCCTTTGTACAATCCTTGTTTTATAAATGTTGAGAACTTTATTCAATTTAGCAGAATGTGAATGACATAAAACCAGTCAGCAAAGACAGTTAATATGAGAGCTTTACAGGAGCCCTGGCAGGAACAGTAGTTAAATACTTGGGTTCTAACTGAAGGTTGGGAGTTCAAACCATCCCATGATCCCATGGGACAAAGATCTGGCAATTTACTCCCATAAAGATTACAGTCTAGAAAACCCTATGTGGCAGTTCTGTTCTGTCACATGGGGTCATGGTGAGATGATACCGACTTGATGGCACTTAGCAACAAGACAGCTCTCAGGGACAGAGATTGTTCAGTTTCTTTGATTTGAATTCCCACAGCACCACACACAGCAAGATCCTCTATGTTTATTCATCTACTGTGTGTTAGGCTGAAAAAGACCAAAATGGATGTCAGACGAGACTCTAAAACTTGTTCTTAACAGGAAATAGCTAAAGAGAATGGAAGAAATGATGAAATAAAAGATCCAAACAGAAGATTTCAAAGGATGGTTTGAGAAGACAGTAAAATATTATAATGATATGTGCAAAGACCTGGAATTAGAAAACCAAAAGGGAACAAATATGTATAGCATTTCTCAAACCGAAAGAAGTGAAGGAAAAATTCCAGCCTCAAGTTGCAATTCTGAAGGATTCTACAGGCAAAATACTGAATAACGCAGGAAGCAGCAAAAGAAGACGGAAGGAATACAGTCATTGTGCCAAAAAGAACTGGTCAACCATTCAAACATTTCAGGAGGTAGCATATGATCAAGATCTGACAGTACTGGAGGAAGAAATCCAAGCTGCACTGAAGGAATTGGCAAAAAACAAGGCTCCAGGAATTGAAGGAATACCTGTTGAGATGTTTCAACAAACAGATGCAGCACTGAAGGCACTCACTCATTTATGCCAAGAGATTTGGAAGATAACTACCTGGCCATCTGACTGGAAGAAATCCATTTATTTGTGCCCATTCCAAAGAAAGGTGATCCAACAGAATGTGGAAATGACTAAATTATATCATTAATACCACATGGAAGTAAAATTTTGCTGAACATAATTCAAGAAGAATTGCAGCAGTACATTGACAGGGAACTGCCAGATATTTAAAGCAGGATTCAGAAGAGGACACAGAATGAGGGATGTCATAGTTGATGTCAGAGGTATCTTAGCTGAAAGCAAAGAATATCAGAAAGATGTTAACCTGTGTTTCATTGTGCAAAGGCATTTGACTGTGTGGATTAGAACAAATTATGGATAACGTTATGAAAAATGGGAATTCCAGAACACTTAACTGTGCTCATGAGGAACCTGTGCATAGACTAAGAGGTAGCTGTTCAAATAGAAGAAGGGGATACCGCATGGTTTAAAATCAGGAAAGGTGTGCATCAGGGTTACATCTTTTCACCATACTTATTCAATCTGTATGCTGAGAAAATAATGTGAGGAGCTGGACTATCTGAAGAACAATGTGGCATCAGGATTGGAGGAAGACTGCTTAACAGCCTGCGATATGCAGATGACACAACCTTGCTGTTCAAAGTGAAGCGGACTGGAAGCATTTACTGATGAAGATCAAAGACTACAGGCTTCAGTATGAAGTTACCTCAACATAAAGAAAACAAAACTCTTCACAACTGGGCCAAAAAAACAACATCATGGTAAGTGGAGAAAAGATCAAAACTGCAGGGGATTTCATTTTACTTGGATCCCCAGTCAACACCCGCGGAAGCAGCAGTCTGGGACAATCTGCTGCAAAAGACCTCTTTAAAGTGTTAAAAGACCAAAGATGTCTTCAGAGACTAAGGTGTGTCTAACCCAAGCTATGGTATTTTCCATAGCCTCATATGCATGTGAAAACTGGACACTGAATAAGGAAGACTGAAGATGAATTGCATTTGAATTGTGGTGTTGGTGAAGAATACTGAAAATACCACGGACTGTCAGAGGAATCTGTCTTGGAAGAAATATAGCTCAAATGCTCCTTAGATGTGAGAATGGTTAGACTGTCTCAGAGGTACCAGTTCCTCAAGAAGAATATCATGTCTTGTAGCCTTCTGGTTAGTAGTCAAATGCCTTAGGCACTAAGCCACCAGAGGTCCTTCGTAAAGTGGAGGGTCAGCAAAAAAGTGGAAACCCTCAACGAGATGGTCTGACACAGTGGCTTCAACAATGAGCTCGAGCACAGCAATGACTCTGAGGATGGTGTTTCATTCTATTGTACACAGGGTTGCTATGAGTTGGAGCCAACACAATGGCACCTAACAACTCAGTGCTAGACGTAATGCTAGGCTGTCAAAGACAAAGATGAATAGAGACACATGAGAACTACAGTTATAACATAAGCATAGTGAAAAAGTAATGGAGGGAGAGGCAGGAGTGACAAACTGCCAGGGAAGTCAGAAAAAGTTTCACAGAGAAGATATTAGAGCTGGGTTTTAAGGGACAAGTAGGACTTGGCCAAGTAGAAAAAGCATCGAGAGAAGGTATCTGGAATAGCATGCACAGAAGACACGAATGAGAGTAAGAGGGCATATTGTTGTTTTGTTATGTGCTGTTAAGTCGGACCCGACTCATAGTGACCCTCCTGGGTTTCTGAGGCAGTATCACTACAGAAGTATATTGCCCAACCTTCCTTCCAAGGAGTGGCTGGTGGGTTTGAACTGCCAGCCTTCTGGTTAGCAATCAAGTGCCTTAGGCACTATGCTACCAGAGCTCCCAAGAAGGCCGGTTAGGTGGAAAAGTTGTTGAGGTCAGGGATTACAAAGATTGTTAGGGGCTGATTCTCACTGGTATCCAAAGGAATGATGAGACTTAGGTGAGGGGTTTTCTGAAAGAGCCCCGTCCTCTCCTCTCCCAGAAGAAAGGGACCAATGGAGATTCTTGTTGGCCCACATGCATCACATTGGCACCTGAGCCCAGTCCTCCCCAACAGCTGCCATCAGGAATCAATACATACCAGACTTGTATAACAGGAAGTCTGTATACACAGAGAAGGCTCCCTCTACCGGACCATTTTTGTAGATCTCAGCCATAATCTCTTTCTCAGAAGAAGGGACGCTGTAGGAACTATATCCTGGAAAATTAAACAGGCCGAGTTGGTGTGAGTCATGCCTCCTGCAGTTTCATCATTCACTCAGTCATTCACTGAGTTATTGTGGGCCTCTAGGAAAGGATGGTGCACATAAGAAGCTGTCTTGGCCAGGGGAATCAGGGAAGGCATCCTTCAGAATAAATGACTGAGCTTGTTCTAAAGGATGATTAGAAATGGGCAGCCTATTCAGAAGCTATGCAGTGGGGAGCATAATGAGTATGAGGTGCTGGAAGAAGGGCAGGGTGGTACCCCAGAAATATCCTAGGATAGATTATTCCCTTGTAAAATTAAGGGTCTGATCTCTTCAAGCTCTGAAGTTCTGTGGTTCTAAGACAATATCCCTGAGGCTGAATTCAGAGTGGGACAGGCCTCTGGCAAGACAGGCAGTCATTACCCTTTTCTGTATCCTGGTGTTCACTGACAGTAAGATTCAACTGCTCTGGTCTCTCCTTTCCTTTGGCTTAAGGAACAGTGCCATCAGATTCCTAAGTCTCAGTGTACTGGACCAGGACCCATCTTACCATAGTGCTTGTCTTCTTTGTAGGATGGAGAATAGCCAGGCTCACAGGTTTTGCTGCATTTGGGAGTCTCACCCTCTCCCTTGCATGGGGGCCGGGAGCCATTGACGTGATGCTCACATGGAGGGATGGAGTAAGGTCTGCAGCCTATTTGGGACCAAACAGAAAGGAGGTGGTCAACCCACAGCCCCTACAGAGAGGCCTCCATAGGCCAGGAAGCATTGATACTGTTCTTCCACTTGCTGCTACTTCTGCTGTAGAAAGGACTGGGTTGTCTTTCTGCCCTATTTTCTAGCTCAGTATTCTGGCCCTCAACCATCACCTTTCACTGTATAAAGCTATGTTAAAGGAAAATGAAACCATTATTATTCATTGCTTATAAAACCCATCAGGTCAGATACGGACTAAAAGTAGATACTCACCTACATGGGAGTCATAGAGGCCACCAGAAACCAGACCTTTCTTGGTCCAGAAGTTCCAAGCTCCAGCGGGAAAGCCCCCATTGCAGCTAAGAAAAGAACCATTCATTAAATTCATTGTTAGAGAAGCACTAGAGGCTCCCCAGACCTAGTACCCAAGGCCTGCTGGTGGCTGCAGGATCTACCACTGCCATTAGCAACTGGCCCAAGAGAACTCCCAAACCCCAATAAACTCTACTTTATCCTCCTTGGATATTCACTTCTTCCAGAGAACAGCTAAGCTCCCATGCCTGCCCACTGAGATCCTCAAGACAGAAAGGGTCACATATTCATTCATATCAATACCAAAATCATTCTAGAACCTGGCAGCACACTGGAATTCCCTGAGGAATGCTAGTGACTGGGATTTAATTTGTTTGGGGTAAAGGCCTCAAGCATCATATTCTCTTTTTAAAAAACATTTGTTCTCACAGTTCAAAGTTCAAAATTAGTATCAGTGGTTTGAAATCAAGATGTCATCAGGGCAGCCCTCCCTGTGTAGGCTCTAGGGGACAATCTGTTCCTATCTCTTCCTGCTTCTAGTGGGTGCAGCAAGCACATAAAAAAACTCCCCAGGTATGAACAATGTGGAACAAAACTCAAAATCATTTGGGGGGAAAAAAAAAAAGGGGACCAAGTTTGCTGGTCTGATAGAGCCTAGTGGAACCACTGAGACCATGGCCCCTGGCTGCCCTTCAGGTCTGGAATTGAACCCACACCTGTGGCTTACAGCCAAACAAAATATAGGCATATGAGGTGATATACTCCTTGGAGAGAACAATCATAGGAGAAAGAAGGGCTGCTTATGTACAGAGATATAGCTCAGGGGGCAGGAGTGCATGGAGTGATGGACACAGGGAAGAGGTAACTATCGGGATGAAGTAGGACAGGAGTTGTTGCACTGGGGTAAATTGTAGTCAATGTCATGAGACAATAGTGTACATGAACTGCTGTATTGAAAGTGAATTTTCTCTGTAAACTTTCACCCAAATCACAATTGAAAAAAAAAAAAAAAAAAAGAACAACAACAACAACAAAACTCCCCAGGTATTTCTAATCTGCAGCCAAGGTTGAGAAACACTATTCTAAAAACTAACGCCACACATTATTAGCAGAAGCAGATACATGAGGTAAGGATTTAGTTCTGTTTGACCAACCTGAGAACTCATCATCCCAAAGTGCAGAAAAGGAAACAGGCCCAGAGGCTATTACATTTCCCTAAGGGAGCAAGCCATTTCAGAAACCAGGCCTGGGATCAGAAATTTAACCAAATATTCTGAGACTACTGTTTCCCCAGTGTCCCACTACCCACCCACAGCTCTGTGGAGCCAGCTTGGCTTCAGAAAGTAGCAGCCATGCTAGAGGCTGCTTTCAAACTCCCCAGGTCTCCATGCTGTCTCAGATAAGAAAGATACATCTTCCAACTTGAAAAGATGTTTAGGTTCTCAAAGGGAACCTCCTCAGGCAACTCTTAATGTCATTTCCCACAAATTCTCCAACTGAGGTGTCCTGGACCTAACAGCCTCTTAGTGCCATTCCTAGGGCTCCCTGGGCCTCCCTTGCTGGGAGGTGCTACCTCAAACTCACCCATTCCCACACTCCATGTGACAGCAGGTGAGCAAGTCTTCCGCAGACATCTCCACACTGAAATGTGCATTGGTGTGAATGCAGACCCGGTCCGAAATGGCCTCCACGGCCCCAAATGCCTGCAGGAACAACACTTACCCAGATGAGAGGCCAATAGTTCTCGACTGTGGTCATCATGAGAAGACGGACAATACACATTCCAACTATCACCTTGGAGGACCACAGTGGGCACCTCTGACCTTATTGGCTAGTCTCTCCCAAGATTAGGTTAGGGTAAGGAGTTCAAGCTTAGCTTTAAGGCAAAAGACCAATCCACCCCAAACCTCTTCCTGGTTACTTGCTTCGTTTCTGAAAGACAGTATTTTTTTTTTTTTTAAAACATAAAGACAGGCTTGTTGATACAGATAGGACACTTCTGTGTGGTGCAGTGTAGGGTCAGAGTGAATGGTACTTACTGATGGAGTAGGAGATGGTGTCAAATAGAGAATTGAAAACAGCTTAATGACTAACATACATGGTGCTTACACTACAAGGTCCTTTTCATATCTATTATTCCACCTAATCCTCATAACTCCACAAACACAGGCCTCATAATTTTTTTACATGATGGAAACTGAGACTCGAATGTTTATGTAACTTGCCTAGTCACAGTTGTTTCCACCCCAAATCTCATCATCACTGCCCACTGTGCTCCCCGACAGCCGTTCCCCTCAGCTAGCAGGCCTTACCCAACAAGAGCCACAGGAACCCTGGTCTCTGATCTCTTTGATGGTTGGACAGTTGGGCCAGTTTTCTCGGGCATCAAAATTTTCAGGCAGATCTAATTCCTCAGCAAAGTCAACTCTGGATAAAAGGAAGGTTGTCTTCATTACAAGCTCTCATCTTACAACTCACTCCCCATACCCTGGCAAAGTTTACTGAAAAGAACACCTGGCTGTGAATTGGTCACTATGTTACTTATCATTTTGTGTATTTCTTTGTAGATTTATCTAATGGATATTTTCCAAGAGTTTTAGCCACAGGGTTAGATAATTATGTTTCTTGCTTCCTCTGCCTCACCCCAGTAATAAAAATCTTCCCAGGGTCCTCATTTTCCATGTCTTCATCATAGTGTATATAGTGGTGTGCCAATGCAACAAACACAACGTACTGCTGTCGAGTCGGATCCAACACATAGCGACCCTCCTTGGGTTTCTGAGGCAGTATCACTAAGGAAGTAGATTGCCCAACCTTCCTTCTGAGGAGTGGCTGGTGGGTTTGAACCACCAGCCTTCTGGTTAGCACTCAAATGCCTTAGGCACTACCCCACCAGAGCTCCCAGTGGTGTGCCATAACTTAAATACTCCATCTTCACTGTTGGACATTTCTAATACTTCCTAAGAAAGTTGTACGTGCATGAATATGGCCATTACAGAATTTTCATAAAAATAAAACACTAATGACAGATCATATGGCTTTTCTTCAATTTTTTTTTTTTTTTTTTTTACATTATTCCAAATGGAGTCCATCCAGGTCTTATAGAGCCACACCTGGTCTTTCATACCTGGGGCCTTTCCCATGGGGCTTCTAAATTAAATTGAAGAAACTGATAGAAAGCACTGGCATGGAAGCTGAGCCCTATACTTCAAGGAGCAGCTTTGGGGGTATGAGATCTACAGAGACCCAGGGAGGCCTTCCTTTTTCCCTCTTCCCCACTCCCCAAACACCATCCTACTGCTCATGTCACAGTGGCTCAGGTGGAACAGTGCAACCTCCTCGGGCAGAGGCACTCACCTCTGGGGCAGCTTGGGACCGTTCAGCAGGGTGCCACACAGCCTCTTCACATAGCTCATATCCACATTGTAGAAGTTATGTCCAGCCTGGAAAAAAGCCCTGTGGAAGTCACTCACCACCAAGAGGGGGTATTTTCCAAGGAAAGGAATGAATGTGTGTGCGCGCATGTTGCCCACACACGTGGCCAGACTCAATGAAGGCCAGAGGTCCTGTCTAGCTCAGCAGGGCAAGTGGGATAGGGTCACCCCATAGAGCAGGCCCACTGGCCAGGGTCAGGCAACCCCTTCTCAAGCCAGCTCAGAGCCCTTGTTGGGATAGTTCAGCTCTCAGACCCACAGGTGTCTTCTCTGGCCTCCTACCATTTGCTAACTACAAGGGAAATCCTCCCCCAACACTAAACACATCTTATTTCTCATTTCTTGGTCCCCACAATCCCAGGCCTCAATGCTGGGCAGAATTAAGGAGATGCTGGTATAGATAAACCACTACCCCTCACACTGGTGTGGAACTTTATAAGATTTACCAGATTGTGACCAATTCTGAAGCTCATTTATTTCCCCATAGACAGACAGACAGACAGACAGACAGAGTGAAGGGGATAGGAGTGCTTGTGGGCATGGTCCTGAGTGTCCATGACTCTAAATCAGGGCCATTTTCCAACTGTCCAGGAGGAATGTCCCATGGGCCACAGCTGACGACAACTCACTCAGTAGCTGGAGTGGACAGACCAGCCTACAGGTGGGAGAAACACCCCACAACCCACCTGCCACGTAGTATTATATTTGTTGACATAGTTGATCAATTCCTCTGACAGGGCCTCAAAATGTTGTCTGCTCCAGGCACTGGTCAGCATCGCCAGGCAGCAGAGGATGGCCAAGAGCTGCCGCATTTTGGAAGTTGGATCCCGGATTTATCTAGAAAGAAAAGGACACAAGACATCAAGACACTTCTCCTTCACTCAGTTAAAGTGCTCAGTACAAAGGCGCCATCTCGGGGTATATGGTTCTGGTGCCAGGAACAACCATATGACCCAGCAGTCAGAGACCCATGTTCTCATCCAGGCTCTGCCATCTGCCTCCTTGTGCAAGTCTGTTAGCCCTCCTGTTCCTCACTGTCCTTTGCTATAAAACTTGGGTGTGATGGCAGGGAGTCCTCAAGGATCTTCAGTGTCCATAGCCACTACGTCCTGGCCTTGAAGTGTCAATCTGTGCCCGAGGCACACCTGACTGTGCAGCTTCTCCTCCATACCAAGGAGGCCGCAGGCCAGCAGAGGGAAATCCAAGCTGCTATGTTACAAGCACCGTTCCAGCTTCAGGCCAGTGGTGCATGGAGCTGTAGTCTCCAAGGTATCACTCTCAGCTGCTCAGTCCTTCCCAGGCAGCTGCAAAATTCGTCATGTGGCTCATCCATTTCCCAGAGTTGAAAAATGTAATGTGATCTGAAGCCCACAGCAAGGAGGTTGTAGACTTTGGGAGAGCCACGTGGTGTATGACATGCTCAGGGTGGTGGCAGATGACCTTCGTGGGTCAAGTCAGGCTCCCATCTTTCTGCCCCTTGATATGGAAAGCAGCCAGGTACTGCTCAGGTCAGAGAGGGAGCAGCCCCTTATTTCATTCAGCTGATGAGGGGCACCAGCCCTCACCCCAACTTGGCTTCTCTGAACTGTAGGTTCAGGGTCTACGGGATTTCAGTGTGAACCTGTGGCTGACTGCCCCGCTCTGGAGCCTAGACCCTGCCTAGGAGCAGAGCCAGGCAGAGTAGTTGTTGTTGTTGTTGTTATGTGCCGTCGAGTCGGCCCCGACTCATAGCGACCCCTCCTTGGGTTTCCAAGGCAGTATCACTACGGAAGTAGGATTGCCCAACCTTCCTTCCGAGGAGTGACTGGTGGGTTTGAACCACCAGCCTTCTGGTTAGCAGTCAAGTGCTTTAGCCACTATGCTACCAGAGTAGAGGCCACAACTATCCTGGTTTCTGAATACAGGGCCCTGCCTGGTGTCTCACATGCTCTTCCCTGGTGAGGGCTGACAGTAGCTACCAGGCTGGCACATGGCTCCATTCCCCATGGGAGCTGTTCTGGATACATTTCCACCCCCTTTAAAATGTATTTATCTCCAAAGCTTTCCACAATCACAGGGCCCCTTGGCTGCCTCTTTTTACTTCCCCAGCAAACATAAGCCAGAGACAGCAGGAACTTAAAAGGGATAAATTATGTGCATATTTTATACAGACTATGTATATTTCTTTAAAATATAATAAAGAAAAAGCTAGAAGCACATATGTAAAATTAGTCAGAAGCTAAGAAATGATTATTCTGCTGATCTCCCATGCCCTGGCCCTAGCAGCTTTTGTTCTAAGCAGTGGCCCAACCCCGAATCAGGAGGGGGAGGTGTGTGTAATCAGGACCTTCTATAACCAGGTACGGTTTACCCCATTTATGGATCTGCTAAAAATGGACAATGGAAACAGGCTAAACTTCCAGACAGTTACAGAGAGAAGAGGCCAAGGTGGTGGGGTGTGTGTGGGTTCAGTGTACAGGAGGATAACCCAGAAAATTAGAACATGGCTGACTGGCTTGAGTGTTGGCTCTCTGTCCTTTCCTGCCCATAAGACTTAGGAAAGTATTTCATCTCTGAACCTTTGTTCCCTCTTTGGAGTCTGGAAACCAAAGTCCATAATAAAAGTGGTGGGGTGGGGAAGAAGAACCACTGTGGTGAGCTTTTCATACAGGAGCATACACCTATGCAGAGGACAGAGAAGGAAGAAGGAGAATGTAGAAGTCACAGACACTGGGCCCAGGCCCTCCTTTCATGGACTTCAGCTAACTCATCTGTAAATTGAAACATCAATACTCACTCTTGGGATGTCTAGGGGATCCTAGAGCATACTATGTAAAATGCTCCTGACCTTGGATGAGGTCAGGCTCACACAGTTTCCCATCTATGGGGAAAAGGATAACCTTGCTTCAATTTCTTGGACTATAGAGAAGAGATATGCCTTCCGCAGGGCATAGATATTCCCAAAGGTAAAGCAGCAGTAGAGGGCAGTGGTAGTTCAGTGGTAGAATTCTCGCCTTCCATGTTGATGCTGTTTGATTCCCAGCCAATTCACCTCATGTGCAGCCACCACTGTCTGTCAGTGGAAGCTTGCATGTTCTATAATGCTAACCAGGTTTTAGCGGAGCTTCCAGACTAAGATGGACCAGGAAGAAACGGCTGGCGATCTACTTCTGAAAATCAGCCAATGATCACAATTGTCTGATTCTACTGTGAATGGGGGTAGCCTACAACTAACAGCAACAGCTGCCAAAAGACATGTCTGGTGACTGAGCTTGCCTGGAGTGGGAGGCAAGGGCTCCAACATGTTGCCATAGGATCCTGACTGGAAGCTTCAAGACCAGGTACCAGCCTGCAGCCTGCTCCAGCAGCAGGGCTCCAGGAACCGCAGTCAGAGAGCCGGAGTCTCTGGAGCAGGATCTGGCGAAGCCAGGGGGCTGAACATCAGATTTGGTGGGTTTATGCACAAGTTCAGTGTAAGCCCTCAGCCAGACCTGTACCAAGGCAAGTCAGAGCATACCTGGGCCAAACCCTCATTTGACAGATGTGGAAATAGGCCTGAGAGGGGTTAGAGCTTGCCAAAAATCACACAGAAAGGCCATGAGGAAGCTGACACACCAGTGCTAGCCTCTTGCCAGATTGCCAGGCCCAACCAACAAGTCTAACTTCCAGATCAGCAGTGATTCCTCCACAAAACTGAGTCACTACTGTCAAAGATAAACCTTTTCTAGTTGTTCTCATTAAATTACTTTTTCTAGAAGTTGCCTTCCTCTGGATTGTCTTTATTTCACTTTAGCATATCAGCCTACACATGTGGCTCCATACCTCTCCACCCAACAGGAGAATCCAGAAGTTCATGGCTACCTACGGGCAGCTGATCTTTGACAAAGGGCCACAATGAATTAAACAGGGAAGAGACAGTCTCTTTAATAAATGGTGCTAGTGAAACTGGATATCCATCTGCAGAAAAATGAAACAGGACCCATATTTCACGTCATATACAAAAATGAACTCAAGTTGGGTCAAAGACCTGAACGTAAAATCTAAAACCATAAAGACCATCAAAATAAAAATACAAACTTAGGCGTCCTAATAAAGGGCATAAATGCATTCAATAGGCCAGGAACTTAGGATTTCCCTAAAGAATTTGCAGTAAAAAAGAAAAGCAACCAGTTTGTCTGAGGGTCCAGTATAACCAAAAATGCACAAACAGCAGAAGACAAAACAGATGGCTGGGACCTCCTGAAAACTAAGACTCTTTTGCATGTCAAAAGATTTCACCAAAACCACATTGAACCCAGAGACAGGGAAAAAATTTTTTGCCAAGAACATATAACACAAGGGGCTAATCTCTTAAAATTTATAGAAAACTTCAACAACAATAAAATGACAAATAATCCAATTTTAAAAAATGGGCAGAGGTCATTAACAGACACTTTACCAAGGAAGACATTCAGGCAGTTAACAAGCACATGAAGAAATACTGGAGATCATAAGCCATTAGAGAGATGCGAGTCAAAGCAACAAGGAAGTATCATCTCACCCCAGCAATAACAGTAAAGTTAAAAAAAAAAAAAACCCAGAAAACAACAAATGTTGGTGAGGCTATGGGAAGTCTCAAACCCTCTTACACTGCTGGTGGGATGGTAAAATGGTACAACTACTGTGGAAAACAATACGGCACTTCCTTACCAAGCAGGAAACAGAAATACTGTATGGTCCAGCAATCCCACTACTATGTACTACAGAAATAAGAGCCATGACATGAACAGGTACATGCACACCCATGTTCAGTGCAGCAATATTCTCAATAGTGAAAAGGTGACCTTTAGCAGAGGAATGGATCAACAATCTATGATATATCCACATAATGGAATACTATAAGAACAATGATGAATCTGTGAACCATTTCATAAGTTCATGGATGAACTTAGAGGCCATTATGCTGAATGAAATTAGTTAATCACAAAAAGGCAAACATAGTATGGACCACTACTATAAAAAGTCAAGAAAAGGGTTTTATAAAAAAAGGAATATTCTTTGATGGTTACCAGGGGTGAGTGGGGAAGGGAAGATAAACCACTAACTAGAGAGTACCAAAAAAACCCAAACTCACTGCTGTCGAGTGGGATCTGACTCATAGTGACCCCTCCTTGGCCCTCGGAGGGAAGATGGGGCAATCTACTTGCGTAGTGATACTGCCTCAGAAACCCAAGGAGGGGTTGCTATGAGTCAGGTCCAAGTCAACAGCACATAACAACAACAACAACATCATCTCTATGGAAGTAGATTGCCCAACCTTGCTTCTGAGGAGTAACTGGTGGGTTTGAACTGCCAGCCTTCTGGTTAGCAGTCAAATGCCTTAGGCACTATGCCACCAGAGACACATATTAACTTGGGTGAAAGGAAAGGTTAAAAAAAAGAAAAAAGAAAGAAAGGTGTGAATACTGTTTATATGAAAAACTAGCAGCAATATAAAATATGGTTAACTTAGTTTAATAATGAGCTGCACCTCTGAGTATGTTTTATGAAGAATTTACATACATATACACACACAAAATAGCCTAGTGAAAAAAAAATCATCTATATGAGACAAAATGCTCGACAATTACTCTAAAGCAAAAATGAAAGGGACCAGATTACTGGACACTAAATATCCAGAATGGAATTAATGAGAATACTGACACATTGTGAAAAATGTAACCAATGTCTCTGAACAATCTGTGAAGTAATTGTTAAATGGGAACCTAATTTGCTGTGTATACTTTCACCAAAACACACACATACACACAAACCTCCCCAACAAATACCTCTCCATCACAACAGGACAGAGTTT